TATTTTTGTTTGACCAAATACTATTATCTATTATCAAATACTTTATCTAATCAGAAGATGATAAGGATTATTTCTGTAGATTACTGGACTTTTTAGTTTGGGTGGCTGGCAAGTGTTTGGTGTCTTACTAGACAGGGTATTCATTATTGACTCGTATAAAGCTGGATTTATCCCTGTTAAAAATGGCTTTCAGCTTGTCTTTCAGTTAATTAGCTGAGTTAACTTTTTAATTAATTTTTGCTATTTTAAAAAAAATTTTTTTTAATTTTGTCACTTTGAATTACAAAGGCACAAGTTACTTGTGATTGGGTTTCAAGTGTATAGTGTTCCAAGACCCACCAGTGTCCACCTCCCTCCACTGTCCCCACAGTTTCTCTCCCTGGCCCTGTCCTGCCTCTATGACAGGCATTTATGTTCTTGTTTCCTGTGCTGCCCTTGCCCTTGCCCTTCAGCACAGTGGTTTACCTGCTGTCACCAATAGGTCATCATGCATATCCCTTTGCCTCCATTCATACCCGGTCCTCCTCCTGAGTGTCTGCATCCCCTTGTCGTGGTCACGTTGGTCCCTCCCTTTTCTGACCTGTCCCCACGTCTGAACTGGAAGCCTCCCACTAAGGATGCAGTTCTCCTGCTCTTCGTTTCTTTTCCCTTTGGGCATTACTCCCGTGCTGTGTCCTGCATCTGAGTGAGATCACTGAGTCTTTTCCTCTCCTTCTGACTCATTTCTCTCTGCGTGATACTCTCCAGATCCAACTATGTATCAGTAAATTGCAGACTTCATCTTTCCTTATACCTGAGTAATACTCCATTATGTAGATTCACTGTAATTTTTTTTTGTAGGAGTACTGCTATTTATTCAGCCACTGATTAGCTGATTGAATTGTGCATGAACTCCACCTTACTTGTTTTTTTCCATTTTTTATCATTTTATTTATTGAATCACCATGAGAGCAGTTACAAAGCTTTTGGGTCTAAGTCTTGGTCACACAATGAAACACCCGTACCTTCACCAGTGCCCATTCTCCACCACCAGAAATCCCAGTATACCCCCATCCCACACCCTCCCCCTGCCTGTGGGGCAGATGATTTCCACATTACTCTCTCTCTACTTTGATCACATTCACTATTTCGACACCAGACCCACCATTATTTGAGATTTTACCCCAACACTCAGATCTGCTGAAAAGGCAACAATAGACAATTTGTGTTCTATTGCTGGTTATGAATAACATATGATGTCGTGTGGCTGCAGTAGAGCCATATGGTTTTGAAATTCCGAAATTTTAACACTTAAATCTGGAGGGATTTCTGCCAAAAGCCACTGGGTTTCGAGATTTGCTCCTGAGTCTCTGGGATCATGGCCATTGAGCAGCTTGATGAGGAGCCAGAGAGGCCCGTTCGTGGGCGATGACTTGGGGTCTCGTTGGGGTGGGGAGGACAGGCCCGGCTCCCACCCCCCCATCCCGTGAGGCCCAACAAGTTTCGTCACTGCGGTCCCAAGCCTGACTATCCAATGGCCTCTGGAGAATAACAGCCACCAAGTCGCCAAGAGGGAGCAGGCTGAGGGACAGCACCCATTCACCCTTGGGGTGGCCCGGCGACAGTAACCTACTGCGGGGTCTGGACACATTTCTGCCAAAAGCCGCTGGGTTTTAAGATTTGTTTCTGAGTCTCTGGGATCAAGGCCGTTGAGCTTGAGCAGCTTGATGAAGAGCCAGAGAGGCCGTTTGTGGGCAATGACTTGGGGTCTCGCTGGGGTGGGGAGGACAGGCCCGGCTCCACCCCTTTGCCCCCCCATCCCGTGAGGCCCAACAAGTTTCGTCACTGCGGGCCCAAGCCTGACTGTCCAATGGCCTCTGGAGGATGACAGCCACCAAGTCTCCAAGAGGGAGCAGGCGGAGGGACAGCACCCTTTCCTCCCTGCGGTGGCCCGGCGACAGTAAGGTACTGTGGAGTCCGGATGCATTTCTGCCAAAAGCCACTGGGTTTTGAGATTTGTTTCTGAGTCTCTGGGATCATGGCCGTTAAGCAGCTTGATCAGGTGCCAGAGAGGCCATTCGTGGGCGATGACTTGGGGTCTCGTTGGGGTGGGGAGGACAAGCCCGGCTCCACCCCCATCCCGTGAGGCCCTGTGTGTCTCGTCACTGGGGGCCCAAATGTGAAAATGTGACTATCCAGTGGCCTCAGATGGATGGCGGCCACTGGGCCGCCAGGGGGAACAGGCCAAGGCACAAAACCTATTCCCACCTGGGTTGGCCCAGCACCGGTAGCCTACTGCAGAGACCAGACGCATTTCTACCTAAAGCCACTGGGTTCTGAGATTCGTTTCTGAGTCTCTGGGATCATGTCCATTAAGCAGTTCAATCAGGAACCAAAGAGGCCTTGCCTCCAATTATATAGCTGAGCCGGAAGTGGTTTGTGGGTGTGTTTCCCACATACCTAACTTTTGGCCGTTTACTTTCTTGGTAAACTTTGCCCCAAGTTTTGGGGTCTGGCCAAAGGCACAGCAGCAATTTTGGGGTATCTGGAAGTCTGAAGGTGCCATGAGGCTGCTGATGCACTCTCCTCACAGGTTCAGATTGACCTGCTGGCGGCACCATACCCCCTCACCGTAATTTCTTTATCCAGTCATCTGTATCTGGATTTTGACTGTTGTGAATAGTGCCGCAGTGAACATGGTGCAGGTGGTGTTTCTGCTGTGTGTTTCCCAGGAGTAGTGCTGGTGGGTCGTAGGGATGCTCAGTTTCTGGTATTTTGGTGAATGTCTGTCTTGGCTGTTTTTTAGTGGTGATAGTCATGTAGAACCAAAGGTCATGTCCTTGGTGCCTGGGAATAAGAGCAGCTTAATTCTTGTCTGCTGAGTTGAGTTAAGAACAGGATTTAATGTTTTCAAATACATGTATGGGGGCTGGGTAAGGTGTTTGCCTTGCATGCGGCTGACCTCTGTTCGGTCCCCAGCATCACATTAGAGTTTCCCAACTCAGCTATGGGTGATCTCTGCGCGCAGAGCCAGGAGTAAGCCATGAGCACAGCCAGGTGTGGCCCCAAAACAAAACCAGTTGGATGTATTGTATGGTTTAAGCCATTACCTGAAAGGTGGAAAGCAGTATCAAAGGAAGGTGCTCATTTATTCCTGTAGTTAAAGGGCTAGCAACATTGGGTTTGTTTCTTAAAACTTGGGCAAATAGACATATAAGCAAGGCTCTGGGTAGTGCTTTTGGCTTCCGGGAAGGATGTGGGCATAGTTTTGGTGCCACCAGAGCTCTGCCCAGTGCTGGGAGCCCTGTGGGGTCAGGCATGTGGCACAGAAGCACAGTGGGTCCTTGCCCAGACTCGTGGCTGGGGCCCCAGGGGCAGCAGCTGTGCCACACTGTGCGTCCAGGGTGCCTCCTGAAGTGAAGGCAGACAGCAAACAGCTATTTATCTGTCCAGTTAAGGTTTGTACTGTAGCACTGTATCACTATCCTCACGTTGTTCATCGATTTGCTCGAGCGGGCCCAGTAACGGCCCCATTGTGAGACTTATTGTTACTGTGTTTGGCATATCAAATACGTCACGGGTAGCTTGCCAGGTTTTGCCGTGCAGGCGAGATACTCTCGGTAGCTTGCCGGGCTCTCCGAGAGGGGTGGAGGAATCGAACCTGGCTCGGCAAACGCCCTAAGTAACTGATTTTACCAAACTGTGTTCACATTATGCATTAAACAAAAGCAAACAGGTTTGGATTTGTTAGGCTATAGTAGGGAAGAAGTCTCAGTTAACTAACTCCAGGGATTTCAGGTTTAAACATACAAATATCGTGATACTTGAGCGTGTGGGGGGCAGGGCAGAATTTGGGTTTTGGTTTTGAGTTTTGTTTTTTTGTTGTGTTTTTGGCTTAGAGTGCTTGCAGTACTCAGGGCTACTCCTGCTCTTAGATCAGGAATCACTCCTGGAGGGCTCGGGAGACCATGTGGGGTGCTGAGGATCGAACCTGGGTTGGCGTGCAAGGCAAGTGCTCTCCCCACTGTAATAATGCTCCAGCTCCTTGGACCGGGGAGGGGGGGATGGAGGTGGAGGTGGGGGTGTGCTGTTGTTTTGAGTAAGGCCCGAGAAAGATCAAGAAAGATTTCAAAGTAGAGAGAATTTAGCCAGGTGGAATGTCAATATACCAAGTGGAGAGGCTGCACCGGCCAGGCTGGTCAGACAGAGGTGTGGGTGAGGAGTGAAAGGAGACTCGTGGGCGTGGTATTGACTGAGATGCAGCTGTGCGGGTGAGGTGGGAGGGTACCTCTGGGCTGCGCTTGGGGAGTTGGACCCAGACTCCTCAGCGGGGTCACTTGCCTGTCCTGTCAGGGTGCTCCTGTCATGTGGCCTCTTCCTCAGACCTGGTGTCATGGCAGGGTGACTGCTAGAGAAACCAGGTCTCCACACCTCGTACACAGAAGCTTGTGTGGAGGGAGTGAGAATGAGTGACACCAGATCCGCTGATTCTGGGGTCCATCCATCCTCGTATACACTGATGTCCCGCTCACATGACCTGGGTGCTGGGGCATTGGCTTATGCTTTAATTTTAGGGCCAAATTGTTAGGATGTGATTTTGTTTTTAAGTGGGCAATAAGTGAACCTTTGAATTGGCAGTTTTTGTGTGTGTCATTTGCTTCTTAGTAAAATTTGAAACTGTGTCTCATGACTTTTTTGTCAGTATAGGTTATGAAAACCTGTTTTTATAATCTGTGTGGTTAGAGTCTAATCAAATGAATGCATGTCAGGGAGTTTTCACTGTTGGTCACAGCTCATTTGAAAACTGCCATGAGAAGTGTCCTTGAGGCAGATACTGGTATGATTCCCATTACTGCCTGTGTCTCTGGTCATTGGGCTCACCCCTAGATAACCTCCGGACCACATCTGCCGTCTAAAGTTGTAGCAGAATGAAAACCTTGAACCTCATGGACATGGTCTCGTTCCTGCTCTGGAATCCCGCAGACAGTACTTAGTGTTACTTGTTCTTTCATTTCTTCTAGATTCTTCTTAAGCTTTGCTGAGAACTGTGACACAGGATGGCCACCAATAAGCCCAAGGGCCAGAATTCTTTGGCGTTACACAAAGTCATCATGGTGGGCAGCGGAGGTGTGGGCAAGTCTGCTCTGACCCTGCAGTTCATGTATGATGAGGTAAGCGCTGCTTTCTGTTACTCCGAGTGGGATTTGTTGGGCCTGGGCCCCACCACATGTGTCCATGAGCACACGCCCGGCTCGCTGCCCTCCAGCCTGTGCTGAGGCTGGTGGGGTGAAGAGCTGACCCACTGGTGCAAATGCTCATTGTCTGTGCTGTGCTGGGTGGAGTCCTGAGGTTTTTCCCAATTTTGAAATTCAGAGCTAACCTTTGTACACAGCATGATCTAATAAGTCAAAACTTAGAGTCCTTTGAAACTCCTTGAAAGGAGCCAGAGAGATAGGACAGTGGGGAGGGCGCTTACCTTGCATGTCGCCGACCCATGTTCCATCCCCAGCATCCCATACTGAACCCGCAAGGATTAGTCCTTAAGTCTTGGTCCAGGAGTAAGCCCTGAGCATCACCAGGTGTGATTCCTGCCTGTTCTTCCCCACCCCCCACCAAAAAAACCCCACAACCCTTCTTGAAAGACAAAATTAAGTTGAAGAAACTACCTATTTTTAAGCAATCTTAACTTCAACTCTTTTACATTTAGTATTTTAAAGGCTATCTGGCTTTTATTTTAAGTTTGGTTTTGGGGGATGTACTCAGGGGCTGCTCCTGACTCTGTACTTGGGATTGTTCCGGAATGCTCAAGGGACCATGCAGTGTTGGGGGCCCAGCCTGCACAAAGTGTATTTCACCCTTAAGTCATCTCTCTGGCCCCTGTCTTTAATATTTCAGTTATTTCCACCTTAAATAAATAGAGTGATGGATGAATATCGCACCTGAGTTGAGACTTGAGATTAATATACATGGATTTTCTTTGATAAATTCGACGAATACAGTTGATCTTTGTGTACTTGGCATGACAGTATTAGGCTTTGTTGCCCTAGTTAGAGTAAGATAGTATTTTTTGGAGGACTGTTACCAAATCTGAGTAAGTTAAAGTCAGTGACCCAACCTCAGTGTGTTTCCGAGTTTCTGGGGACGGAAGCTGAGGTCTTCTACCCCAGCCACACCCTGGAGCTTCATTCTTTCCCCCAGTAGAAGCAGGGGTCATGGTTATACTTTTCCTGTTGATCTTCATAACAGTCCTGTATGGTAGATGGTCGAATCTCCATTTTACAGTTGAAAATACAGAAGAACCCTAAGGGTCAGCCGCCCTTCCAAGCATGGTGATTGCTCGTGCGTCACTGTGTTAAACCTGGTCTTCATCCCTCACAGCGTGTGTTTGGCACCCAGGTCTCCACTGTCTGCTCATCCACATTTATTTAGCTCCCACAAACTCTTAAACCCATCAGTTGGTCTGCCTGTTGGTGGTACGATACACACTGACAGAGGAGATGGGGTGGTTCTCTGGGGGGGAAGGGCAGGCAGAAGGCCGTTAACACTGCAGTTCCTCAGGTGTTACCGGGGCTCCTGCACACGAATCCTGTACCCCAGTCTTCAGGGCATCTCCTGGCTCAGAAATGTCACTTTAGATGAGCTTCCATATGTGTTCATTCCTGGTTTTGCACTGTCCTTTTGTCTGTGAGGGTATGTTGGGAAGCCACACCTGACACTGTCCAGATTTGCCCATGGTAGCAGCGAGGCCTGTGCCCACTGGTGGGCATCTCCCCAGCCCAGAGGGCTCCTCTCAGTGCCTGAGCACCTTTGGACTAATCCTGGAACCAGCCCCCTCGGTAGTAAGGAGGCCAAAAGTAAAAATATTCGCATATGGGATGTTTACTGAATGGTTGAACTTTCATGTAATATTTGCTAAATATTGGCATGTAAATGTTGTGGAATATTATATAACTTGAGCATTTACAAATATATAATATCTGCAAACATTTACAAATATGTTTCATTTTTTAAAAATAACTTTTTTAGGGGGCTGGAACGATAGCACAGAGTGTGGACATTTGCTTTGCACGTAGCCGACCCAGGTTCAATTCTCAGCATCCCATATGGTCCCCCAAGCACTGCCAGCATTAATTCCTGAGTGCATGAGCCAGGAGTAACCCCTGTGCATCGCCAGGTGTGACCCAAAAAAGCAAAAAAAAAAAAAACTTTTTTATTAAGTGCCTACCATGTTTCAGAAGTGTAAAGTAAGGAGTAGAATAATAAAGATCTCAGCTCTCAGGGATTAGATTCTAGTAGAGGATCATAGATTTTGGGCAAATAAGTAAGAAAGTGTCAGATGATACAAAGGTATGTATTAAGAAACCACAGGAGGCGCAGATGCTGCCCGAGCCCATGTGCTGCTTGCGCCCACGTGGCTGAGCACATGTGGTGCCCGAGCACATGTGTGCCCGCATCTCCCCTCTTGAGATGTGTACTTTCATGCTTTCGTGTCTAATGCTGGGATGTGTGTAGGGGCTCTCTCCACCCTCGGAGAAGCCCGCATTCTCTCTGGACGCGTTACTCTCTCTGTTACTCTCCATTCCCCCGCTTATCTGCTTATCCCTTTCTCTCCCTCTCCAAAAATCCTCCAAATAAAATCTATTTGTTTCAAAAAAAAAAAAAGAAACCACAGGAGTGTATATAGAACTCATCCGCTAACAAGGACACAGGGCAAGTTTACCAAGGTTGATGGAAGCAGAAATGTAAACTATTCAGTTGTCCTATTTAAAAGTATCAGAAGTTGGGGTTGGAGATAGTACAAATGTTAGGCACTCACCGTGCATGTGGCAGAACCAGTTTGACCCCCAGCACCAACATGATCCCCTAAGCACTGCCAGAAGGGTCCCAAACCAATACACACTAATTAGAAGATTGGGGGAAAATTTTAAAGTCTAGAATGTGACATCCTACAAGTAGTGTAAGCCTCAGCTTCTTAAACTGTGGATGGCGGTTACTGGGTCATTGAACGTGGAGGTCAAGAAAAATTTGGCAATAGGAAAAGGCTTCTGATTTCTTAATGACCAGGAATTAATTCAGAACCCATCTCCTAATGAATCAGATGTTCCTGACAGCTTTCATCCACTTGCATTTCTCAGGTAGAAAAGAGTCACAAGAGAAAAAAAAATGAGAATCCCTAATATAAGTCATAATATGGATTTGAGTCATTTTGGAGAAAGAAAAGATTTGATAGGCTGAACAATAGTCACGCAACAAACCTAAGTTCTATCCCTGACTCCCCAGGTGGTCCCTGAGCACTGGCAGGTGGGTGTAGCTCCCCCCCCCCAAAAAGAAAGGTTTTTCAGCTACTGATGCTAATCTGAGTATTGACTGGATGAAGGACAAGACTTGCTGTAGAACAGAAAGTAGCCTTGCAGTGATCCTGGACACCACGTGAAATAGATAATAAATGATATTTATTTCCACAGTAAATGTTGGGTATAAGGTTTTGCATTTAGAGTCACACAGAAATGAATTATTAAACAAAATAGTCAAGGCACACTGGAATGTTTCCAGGAAGGAAAGCGAGAAGCTTCCAAGCAGTGAATAGTCTGAAGCTGATAGCTCAGCCCCAACTTGTTGCAGGTGAGGAAGTCACCAGATTGTCCAGGAAGAAAATTCAAACTAGTGTCTTCCCAGCCATCTCTGCTGTGGGGTTCTCTGGCTGTTTTGGCAGTTTTGTGGGACTGTCTTTTAAGCATTGAAAGCTGTGACTTGAGGCAGATGTGCTGTCGCTCCCTCTCTCCTAGTTCGTGGAGGACTATGAGCCTACCAAGGCCGACAGCTACCGGAAGAAGGTGGTGTTGGACGGGGAGGAGGTGCAGATTGACATCCTGGACACAGCAGGGCAGGAGGACTATGCTGCCATCAGAGACAACTACTTCCGGAGCGGGGAGGGCTTCCTCTGCGTCTTCTCCATCACAGAAATGGAATCGTTTGCAGCCACGGCTGACTTCAGGTACACAGGGAGTGATGTTGGCACTCCACACATTGACTGATGTGCTTTCCTGGAAACAGCTGTCTGTGTGGGCTGCTCCCTCTGTCTGTCTGTTTCTCTCTGTGATTGTGTTCACCCCCTCTCTGACGTCAGGCTGAGACTTGATCCACTGTGCGGTCCCCTCATTCCCTTGCAGTGACCTGGCCACAGCTAAAGAGCACTGTTCTCCGCTGCTGACCCCTCGGCCCAGAGCCACTTTTCACATCCCTGAGGCCTTTCCCTACCAAGTAGGACCACTGCCATAAAGCCCCAGAGCCCCATCATGAAGCTCTGACCCACATTGCGAATCTCTCTGTGTTGTCACCGGGTTTTCTGTATCACCCTCAGTAGGCACATGGCCATGCTTGTACCACAGAGCCCTGAGGCCACAGTGTGAGCAGCAATTTGAGAAGAAATAACAATATAGCTTGGCAAGTCAGGTTGTGTTATCTAATCTTTAAAAGTATGTTTAGCAGCTGCCTTATTTGCCTGTTTATTTGGTTTGGGGACCACACCCAGCAGGGACTACTTCCTGTGGGGCTCAGAGCCCAGCAGTGCTCAGGAGCTACTCCCAGTAGGGCTCAGAGCCCAGAAGTGCTCCCGGGCTACTCCCCGTGAGGCTCTCCGCCCCACAGTGCTCCCAGTCTACTCCCCATGGTGCTCAGAGCCACGTAGCACCAGGCCTGAGCCTGGCCCTGGCACATGGAACAGTGAGTCTTCTCTCAGCTCTTTGGTCCAGCTCCCTGGCCCCTGTCTTTACTGTGTATATAATAAAAATCTGTCATCGTTCATTTGGTTTGGGTGGGGAGGTTTTGGTGAAAGGATTTTCTGTATACTTAAGAGAAATATGGTATGAATTAGCCATTGAATCATCACGTAAATACTTTAACTATGTGTTGTTTTTGTTTTTGTTGGGGACCACTCCCATCTCAGTGCTCAGATTTCACTCCTGGTGTTGCTCAGGGGACCATGCAGTGCTGGGGTCAAAACTCTCCCACATGCAGAGCACGTGTTGGCCAGCCACCTGTCTGAGATAAAAAGTCCATGTAATGCACTCTTTCTGTTTTTTGTTGTTGTTGTTTTTTACCTTTTTTTTTATGATTTTTTTAATTGAATCACTGTGAGACCCTTACAAAGCTGTTCATGATTAGGTTTCAGTCATACAGTGTTCCAACACCCGTCCCTTCACCAGTGTACATTTCCCACCACCAGTGTCCCCAGGTTCCCTCCCATCACCCCCCTTCCCCATCATCTCCACCTGCATCTGCGTCCAACACATTTCTTCTGTCTCTCTTTCCTCCTCTCCATCTCTCTCCCTTTCTGCTTCTCTCCCACCACCCCCCTCTGTTTCTCTCATTTCTCTCTCTCTTGTACATTCTCTCTCTTTTGGGGCATTATGGTTTGCAGTACAGATACTGAAAGGTTATTATTTATGTCCCTTTACCTACTTTTAACACACAGTCAGTTCTTGTCCAGAGTGATCATTTCCAAATATTATTGTCATACTGGACCCTTCTCTATATTACATATCCTCTGCCCACACACACTTGTGATTGATTCCAACCACTGACCAGTCCTCCTACCCCTGTTTTCCCTGGTATTGGATATTAGTCTTCTAATGTATGTATGTATGTATATATATATATATTTTATATCCCACAAATGAATGCAGTCATTCTATATCTCCCCCTCTCCTTCTGACTCATTTTACTCAGTATGATACTCTCCATGTTCTTCCATTTATAGGCATGGATGTAGGGAGAAAGGGACTCTAATTCACTGCTGGTGGGAATGATTACTGGGTCCACCTTTTTGCAAAACAATGTGGACATTCCTCAAAAAACTAGAAATTGAGCTCCCATTTGACCCAGCAATACCACTTACGGGGCTATACCCCAGGGGCCCAAAAAAACACAGCAAAAACACCATCTGTACTCCTATGTTCATTGCAGCACTATTCACAGTACCCAGAATCTGGAAACAACCTGAGTGCTGAGAAAAGACACGGATAAAGTAACTATGGTACATCTACATAGTGGAATACTACACAGCTCTTAGGAGAAACGAAGTCATGAAATTTGCCTATAAACAAATGATTTGGTTTTGGTCTTTTACAATTTTTTATTATTGTTATTTTTTAATCACCATGAGATACAGTGACAAAGCTTTCCTGTTTAGGTTTTAGTCATACAATTATAGAACACCAAACCCTCCACCAGTGCACATCTTCCAACACCAATGTCCCTAGTATCTCCTCCATTCCACCCCTCCCCCTGCCTCTAGGCAGACAGTCTCCCACATACTCTCTTTTGAATAGTATAAGATGTCAGGGCCGCTTTCATGGAATTCTAAAATTTTAGATGGTTAGGCTCAATTTGGAGATTCTCTTGTATGTCTTCTGGATCATGGCCATTAAGGAGTTTACATAGCAGCCTGAGGCAGTTTGTGAGCATGACCTCCAGGTCCCGGGGAGATGGGGATGAGAGGGACTGGCCCATCCCTTATCCCTGAAGGCCTGGAGTTTGCCATCACTGAACCCACGTGCCTGCACTTCTCATTGGGTTCTGGAAGTTGGCAGCTGCCGGGGTTTTTAGTGGGCAGGTGGAGGGATGATGCCTGCCCCCCATCTGAGGCACCCCGGTGAAGTCGGCCTGGCTTAAAGCAGAAGCATCTCTGCAGCAAGCTGCTTGGTTCGGAGATTCTTTTGTGTGTCTCTGGATCATGACTCTTGTTTCCATCTTTTCCAGAGAAATAAACTATTGATATATGCCCTGCAGGGCGTGCCCACTCATCCACAATGCACCACACCACCAGCCCTAACTGCAGCTTTTGACCTTTTTTGAGATTTATGGGTCTTTGAAATAAGGCCAATAAATGAGCTTGTATAGCAGAGCCAGAGGTAGTTTGTGGGTGTAGCTCCCACATACCTAAATTTGGTCATTAATATCTTGGTAAACTTGGCCCCAAGTTGTTGGGTTCTGGCCAGAAGCACAGCAGCAATTTTAGGGTGTCAGGAAGTCTGAAGGCACCATTAGGCTGCTGATGCACTCGCCCTGACAGGTACCGGTTGACCTGCTGGCAGCACCATACTCCAGGTTTTTTCTTTTTAAATTTTTAATAGTGAGACATCATGAGGTACAGTTACAGACTTACACATTTTTGTGCTTGGGTTTCAATTATACAATGATCAAATACCCATCCCTCCACCAGTGCCCATTTCCCACCACCACGGATCCCAGTATCCCTCTCACCCCCCATCCCCCCCATCCCCCCCTGCCTCTGGCAGGGCATTCCCTTTTGCTCTCTCTCTCTCTTATTGGGTATTGTGGTTTGCAAAAGAGGCAATGGGTGACAATCATGTTTGGTCTATAGTCTACTTTCAGCATGCTTCTCCCATCCTGGGAGGATCTTCCCAAGTGCTCCCTTCTCTATCTGAGCTGCCTTTTCCCCTAGCATGTGTGGTTGGCCTCCAAGCCATGGAGTAAAATTCCTGGTACTAATCTCAGCCACTCTTGGGTGTTAGTCTCCTATTTTGTTACTTTATGTTTAGTTTTTTTTTTTTAAGTGTTTATTGAGGCACCGTGGTTTACAGTGTTATTCATGACTGATTTCAGGCACATGATACTCCAGCATGATACTCCCTTTACCAGGTTCCACTTCCCTCCACCCACGGCCTCATTTCCCTCCACCCACAGCCTGCCTCTATCCCAGGCTTTCTTTTTTTTTTAATGTATTCCTTTTTGAAGAGTCACACAAGTTAGTTGAATAAAACTTGAAACCGTGATTGAGTCTGTGATAACAGAGGAAACTTGGTCACAGTGTCAGAGGGGACAGAGGGAGAGAAGCCGTGGGCCATCCTGATGCCCATGATGGGAGAGAGGCCGCCAGCCCTCCTGAGCCCAGGAACCTGAGCAGAGGAGGGTGCCGTGATGGGAGAAAAGCTTCCGGCCCTCCTGAACCCAGGAACCTAGCAGAGGAGGGTGCCTTGATCGGAGGCCCTGCAGGGCACAGCGCAGGAGCACAGGCTCAGCACACCTTCCCGCCTGCATCTGATTACAAGGTCCATCCCCACATGCATGCACGCATCCTGCGATCACTGTTCTGCCAGCAGCCCAGCAACCACTGCAAGCCAGTCACAGCATCAGGAGGCAAATGGGGGCACGGGGAGGATAAATGAGTGAACAACTGAAACAGATAAACCCAGCCACCCAAGGGAAGGCATGAGCAACAAGGGGGATGAGCAGAAGGGAACCTGGAGGAGACCAGGTGTGTGGGTAAGAGGTAGAATGCACACTAGGCCTGCAGGCTCATGTGCCCAAGGGGAAAATGAATTGATTTAAAGTAGTCCTTTTCATGTGCACTCAGAAGGCTCAAGAACTGAAAGGATTCTAGAAGAACGGTCTTTGCAAAAACATATGTCATTGAGAAAGTTTTAGAATATAGATTTATTTGCAGAATTAGGTTTATTGGTCTCTGTGAAGAGTAAGTTTTATGTGTGAAGAGTACTAAGGGTGGCAGACCCTGATGACTTTATTCGTGGGAGACACGGTGAAAGTTTTGTCAGGGGCTGGTGAGATAGTGCAGTGGGCAGTGCAGTTGCCTTGGGCGCAGCCAGCCCTGGTTTGAGCCCTGGCATCACGTATCAAGCCCCACCAGGAGCAGCACTGCCAGGAGTGAGCCCTGAGCACCACCAGATGTGAACCAAAAACTTTTTAGTCAGTGCTTACTTTTAATACAGCAAATTTTGAGTGCTTACTACATTTCATTTTGTAATAATTATTAATAATGGGCTTGATTTTGTGACCATAATCGCCAAAGCCAAAGCTATATCTCAAGGGGTTATTTTTAGACAGGTAGAGAGAATCTTGGACTGTTGCTGTGCAGAAAATAGGTGACCCGTTTGTCACTCTCCCCTTCCACCTCCCTTCCCGGAACCCTAGCCCTGGTGACTCATCAACAGCCGGGAGACCTCTCAGCTGGCC